CTAAACCCTAAGCCCCAAACCCTTTAGGGTTGAGGGTTTAGGGGATTCAAACCCTAAACCCTTTAGGGAAGCCCGAACACCAAACTCTAAACCCCGAGGGCTGAGCTAGGCTTGAGGAGTTGAATGTATGCAAAAATCATACTTAAAGGATCATGGGACTTAGTAAGTAGGGTTATAATTAGGGTAACTATACTTATAACACCAATTAAGGGACTTATAACCTTACTTACTAAGTCCCATGATCCTCCAAGTAGCCGCGTTGCAAGGTAGAACACGGCGTTGCTGTAGAGTTTTTGAGTGGCAACTCTACAAGCACGGGGATAACACACTTGCACTAGCTGCACTGACTATTCAGACTCATACGGGTAGTTTTCAAAATTAGGATCCCCTTTTTGGATCCTTTTTATAAGGGTGCCGTAACAAATTGGGGACCTTTAAAAAGGGACCCTAATTTAGAGAACTACCCATACAGTGGCATGCCTGCGTGAGCTCCGTCTCCAAGTAAGACCACTCCTCGCGGGGTGCAGGCGGAAGGGCACTACGGAGTACCTGGACCCCGGAATGTCATACTTCCTAAGGGTCCAAGTAGTCCTTATTTATGGTTTTAGGTACCCAGAAAGGCCCCAAAGTCCTTAAATAATGGGTACCTGGACCCTTAGGACTTGTTTTTGATGCAATAGTCCAGGGTTAAAAGGACCCTAGACTCCTATACGCAGGCAGCAAGGTAAGCAACAGCAGGTCCTAAAACTCACGGTCCAGGAGACATTGAAAGGATGGATCTTTGTGCTTAGCAACGGGCTTTGGGGTACATTTTGGTATACCTATAGAGGGACTATGAAGGATTTTTTCAACATCCACATCCCCTACGCAGACCGCGGGAGGATCCAACAAGTAGATCTCTTTAAGGCACTTTAAGGAGGTTCCCTTCGGTAGTCTCGGGTCCCAAACTAGGGATCCACGTTTTAGATCCTCCCGGGGGTTCTGGGTATTGCTGAAGTCTGCTGTGTCGAGCTCCTGATATTGTCTTTTTTATTTTTTAAAGGCTTGCAGGACCTTCAAAGGCTCTTGGGATTTTAGGGGCATGTGAACATTGAAAGTCGGCGGCAGCGTGTTCATCAGAACTCTCTCGTTGCTTCCTGGGAGCTTGGGAACCCAGAAACCCCACAAACCCTAAACCCTAAACCCTAAACTCTAAACCCTTTAAACCCTAAACCCTAAACCCTAAAACCCCACACCCAAAACCCTAACCCCTACACCCTAACATTGGAGCCGTCGACAGGGCATGACGAGTGATGCTTGTGCCGGACCCACTCCTAATCCTGGTCGTCGAAACGCTTTCTAGGATGCACCAGAAACTGGATGCTCCCGTTTAGGGTTTGGGGTTTTATGGTTTAGTTTCAAGCCGGGAGCAGGTACCAACATTCTAAGTACCCAGCAAGAATAGCCTCCACAAAATACTAGCCTACACAACTGCCAGGAGGGTCGTGAGACTTAGTAAGTAGTTATCTTATAGACGTATAAGCATAACCACCCCAATGAGGATCCCTCTTTAGGATACTTACAGCTCCACTTGCAACACAGGATATAAGTCCCCAACAACTCTCCCAAGGCTCAAGGCCCCTAAACCCTAGACCCCACCTAAGAGTTTAGGGATTCGGTCATACCCTATCCTTTTTTTAAGGTTGAGGGATTCGGTCATACCGTATCCCTTTTTTAAGGTTTGAGGTTTAGGTCATACCCTGTCCCTTTTTAAAGGTACCTCCTTGCTCGACATAGCAGGCACTGCCCACAAATTTAGGCGGCCCCCAGAAAACGGGATACGGTACGACCTAAACCCTCAACCCTAAACCCGTAACTTTCTAGGTGCACTAACCCGAAAGGGCGTCAGGAGTCGCAGGGTGTGGGCTTTAAGACTTCAGGGCCTACCTTCTGCCTCCGTTGAAGTACCATTCTTGATCAACCCAGCACTATAATCAAGTTTATAGGAACCGAAACCTAAACTCCCTAACTCCACCTAAAGTCCCTAACTCCTGGGCCCTGAGCCTTTAAACCTGAAAACCCAAATCTCAAACCCCCCAAACCCTACCCTAAACCC